ACTGTCTTCCTTGTCAATGAGGGATCCAAATGAGTGCTTTCTTGCTCCTGGCACTTCAGTTTATGGCAGCAAGGGACCTGTTTGGGATTGTGCGTGTGTACTGGCAAGGAGGGCAGCCTTGTTCTGTTGGGCGTGGGTTTCCTCCAAGCTCTCCTCGTAGGTGTGAGGAGACTCCATACAAAATAAGCAGATTTTTCAGCGACGTAAATGTTTGTCGCAGTTCCTGTCCATGTTCCTGGGACAGAGGCCAGGCCTTTGGGCCAGAGCATGGCAGGATCACAGAGCCTCTCCTGGGTATGAAGTCATGGAATTGTAGGATAGATTGGGTTGGAAGGGACTTTTAAAGCCCCCCCAGGGCCACCCCCTGCCCTGGGCAGGGACACCTCCCACCACACCACGTTGCTCCAAGCCCCCTCCAACCTGCCCTTGAACCCCTCCAGGGATGGGGCAACCACAACTTCTCTGGCCAACCTGGGCCAGGCTCTCGCCACCCTCAGAGTGAAAAATTTCTTCCTAAGATCTCAACTAAATTTTCCTTCTTTCAGGGTCAAACCCTTCCCCCTCCTCCTAGGACTTCCCTTTCCTAGGGAGGCATCAAGAGTCCCTCCCCAGCTTTCCTGGAGCCCCTTGAGGGACTGGAAGGGGCTCCAAGGTCTCCCCGGAGCCTTCTCTTCTCTAGGGAAAACCCTCCAACTCTCTCAGCCCCCCCTCCCAGCAGAGGGGCTCCAGCCCTTCCAGCATCTCCGTGGCCACCCCGCTCCAACAGCTCAATGTCCTTCTGCTGTTGGTGGCCCCAGAGCTGGAGGCAACACTGGAGGGTGTCTCCCCAGAGCAGAGCAGAGGGTCAGAATCCCCCGCCTTGCACTTGTGCTCTCAAACCCGCCGTGCTCATGCATCTTCTGGGGAGCTTTTACTCCTTGTCTGTGTGACCATTTACGTTGGCATCTGCTGGGACCGTGACCAGCGAGGAGCCCATCCTGCAGCTGGTCCTCACAGCTGGAGCTCTGGGCCTCCTCCTGGGGTGACCCTCGTGCCTCGGCTTCTTGCTGGCCTCACCCACTTTCCGCCGGGCTCCCCCTTTCCTCTGCATTTGTTAGTTTTTATGACTTCAACGCCATTGTCATTTCACATGTGGTGTGGCAGGATTGTGCTCTTTTCTGTGCCCATTCAGAGGCAACTCCCGTTTTCTAAAGGAATTCTTCTGCTTTTGGTCAATTCTTCTGCTCTGTTGGTTTGGCAGCTCCATCTTTCTGTAGGGGCCTCTTAGAAGCTGTTTTTTCATTTTTGCCATATGTTTGCTCAGAGCTTCTAATGTGATATTATGAAATACACTCCCTGCTGCCTGCAAGCACATTACCTTTTCAGCTGCTTCTTTTAATTTCCTTTCAACTCTTTCTCATTTGTGTGCTCCTCGATGAAGAATTTTTGGCTTTTTTGCTCTTAAGGGATTGTTGAATGTAAGTTCTTTATTGTCATTATTGCGGGGCGGCTCTTGAATAGATCTTGTCTGTCATCCTGCGTGTTGCTGAGGATTGAATCTGCAGCTCTGAGCTCTTTCTTCCTTCAGGAAGGAGTCATCTGTGCTGTCTAAAAGTTGAGAAGCTGTACCGTTTTCCTTCAGGAGTTGTTCCTGAGGCTTTGATTGTTGTGATCAGAGCTTATAATTGCATGGGAGAAATTATCACTTGTAACTGCAAACCAGAGCGAGCAGCTTGTTCTGAAAGCTGCTCCCACCCTGCCCTGCTCTGAGCCTGATGCCTTCAGGACCTGCCCCAGCTGCAGGGTGGGCTCTGCTGTGCCGTGCTGTGCCATGTTGTGCCATTCCATGCCGTGCCATGCCATGCTGTGCTGCTCTGTGCTGTGCTGTGCCCTGCCATGTTGGTCCATGCCATGTTGGTCCATGCCATGCCATGCCATGCTGTGCCATGCCATGCTGGCACGTGGGACTGTCGCCGCTGCCACTGTGTGCTCCCCGCTCCCTGCAGAGGTGCCTCCTTTGGCACCCTGGGATCTTCCTGGATCTTCTGGGGACTGAACCAGGAGCAGCACTGAGCTTCTTGCTTTGGGAGAGCATCAGGAGGAAGGGAGCAGAGACCTTTCCTCCCCATGCTTGGGGACTGAACAGGGCAGTTTGGTTTCTTTTAATATTGACCTAAGTGTCCAAACCCCCAGGACTGGGAGGTCTCGTCCCCCCGTGTGTGCTGCTGTGAGTGCTGTCTCCCGGCTGGGTCTCTCCATGGGTGCTGGCGGGTGCCCTGGGCTGTCCAATCTCAGCTCCCTCCTCCTGATGGAGATGGGACCAGCACCTGGCACGGCATCATCTGCAGCTCGGGAGTCAAGCTCTGCTCTGCCCGGGACCAGCCCGGTGCCGGGGATGCCGGGAGGCCAGAGGAGAGCATCGCTCCCCTTGGTGGGATGGAGGCAGAGGAGCCCTCTCTGATGTGACTCTGGGAGCAAGGCCACCCGGTCCCCCTGTGCACTGAGCAGCTTCCTCCTGCACAAAGACGCCCCTTGCAGCTCAGGACGGGGCTGGGTGGGATTAGCCTCATGGTTTGGGTGACCCCAGAGTGGCTGTGCTGCATCACAGAGGGGAATAAGCAAGTGTAGTTGCAGGATCTCTGATATGAGAAAGTGATTAATACGTGTGATGGCGTCTGGAGAAACAGAGCCGAAAGAGCCCTGGAAGCAGCTGGATTGTGCCCCCAAGGGGCTGCGCAGCGTCCTGACCTCACAGCTGAAGCATTTTCTTCTTCCTCATTTCTGATGCAGGTTAAAGACAGAAAGAGACAAACTGCAGGGTGAAAGCTCTTTTCTCTCTTAAATATGAAATGGTAATACTCCCCGGAGTACATCTCTGCAGCATAAAGTTTGGTATAAAATTCAGTGGTTTTTATTCTGGGACCCTTCTTCAGCCAATGCCTGTGCTTGTGCACATGTGCCTGTCTGCCTTTTTTTCCATTAGGTACATATTTTAATACTGAATAGCATAATTTGACAGTGAGGAAGAGTCCTAGAGGCTAAATTAGCATGTAGGAAGGTATAGACAACGTTTATTTTTTATTTACGGGTCCCTGAAAGGATGATGCATATCCTGCTTCTCTGAGGACTGAAAGAGGACAGAGCTGGCGTTTCTCAAAGGTTCTGAGCTCCTGATTTCTCACCCCAGCAGCCGCCCACCTCCTCCCCGTGCCCCGTGGCCGGAGGAGCCCTGGTTGAAGCGCTGGCTCGCTGATGCGCTCCGGACGGAGCAGATAAGGCTGACCCTGCCATGCAGTACAACCACCCGCTGCCCAGTGCAAGGCACCTGCGCCCTGGAAAAATGAGCTGTAACATCAGCTCGGTGGCTTTATGTCTCACACGGTGGCTTTTCTGGGTGGCGACACACAGGCGGGTCGTTTGCTTCTCTCTGGGCAAAGCTGTTTAATTTTTTAAAACCCATGCCCGTTTCATTCACAGAACCCCAAAGATGCTGTTAAGGGGCACAGGGACTGAAACTGGCCCTGGGGTTGTTGGAAGTGGGGCTGAAAGGGTGAGTGGGATGTGCAGTTATGTCTGATGTCTGGGTGTGTGTCCTGCTCCGGGTCCGGGGGACACAGTGTGGTGGTGGCAGGAGCTCTGGAGCTGCGGGTCCATCACAGCCACTGGAAGGGCTGCTCAGCAGGTGGAGGAGGTGGGGATTGGGCTGGTCTGTCTGTTGGAAACCCAAATAGATGTTCATGTTCCAGCCTCAACTCTTCAGCTCCTTCGTGAACAAGACGTGCTTGTGCCGTGTGGGGATCTGTGCTGTGCCGATCCTTCAGACATGATGAGCGCCTCTGGTCCCCCGCTGGAAGGGTGGTGGTGTGGTGTGGGGCAATAGCAAGGGTGGGCAGAGGGGTGGAGTGCCTCTGTGTGGAGGCAGGACTCAGCCTGGGAGAGCCGTGGCTGCCGGGGGAGCACCACAGAGAGTGGTTGTTCCGTTCTCTTCCCAGCACAAAAACCAGGAGCCTTAAGCGGGGCTGACAGGCTGTGGCTTTGAAATGAAACGCTGAAGCAGGTCTAAAGGCTGTCTTCTCCTGCAGAAAGTGTGGAGGAGGAGGAGAAACAAAGAGGAGAACAGAGCGATGGGAAATGAGGAACAGTTGAGGGGTGAAATGCAAACCCCAAGGCCTGGGAGGGGAAATGGTGGCTGCTGTTGGGGATGGGCTGTTGTGAGACCGACTTCGGATGTTGCCAGCGCGGAGTCCTCTTGCCTTCCTGCTCTTCACCCACGGGATGTGGCGATGGTGCCGCGGTGCCTGTGCCGTGCCAGGCTGTGCCGTGCCAGGCTGTGCCGCGGGGCTCAGTGGGCTCCAGCCCAGGCAGGTTCCCACCGGCCGGGAGCGCGGCAGCGGGGGCCGGGGCTGTAGGAAATACAGCCTGAAGGTGATGGGCTATAAATGTGTGAATGACCTGGGTCCTGAGGAGGCAGGGAAATGCTCACGGTACCAGGGAAACCTTTCTCAGTCCCGGGGTGAGGCAGGGAAGCGTGAGTTTCCATGCAGGGAGGCAGAGGGTTCTTCTCCTCCTCTCCTTCCATTGGGAAGACCTGGCTGGATCCCTCCAGCCCCCGGCAGGGCTCACGGTGCTGCCTTCATCCCTCCGTTGTGTGCACACCTGTGAAGCCTGTGGTGGAGAAGTCAATAGACTCTTTACACCCCATCAGGGATTTTTAAGAGAAATTTTTCTCTTATACTGGTATTAGGCCATCAAATATTCTTTGGCACTTCTCATATTTTATAGGATGTTATAACCTACAGGATTTGAGTCTGCCATGAACCCCACAGAATGCATTAGGGGGGGAACTGCTAAGTCTCATTCTTCTCCAGCTCTTTTTTCCTCTTCCTGTGATCCACTGACATGGAAAAGGTCGTGACTTTCCCATTGTATCCATCTCCTTGTTCTTTCCGTGGCCGTTGCTGGGTGCAGCTGTGGGGTGCAGGTGATGCTTGGCTCTCACTTCCCTCTGTGTCTCTCCACAGAAGTGTCTGCGGCTGAACCCGGACGTTCCCGTGTGGGTTTCCAAGCAGCGCATCCTCTGCACTCTGAACCACAGCCTGAAGGATGTTCTGAACTACGGGCTCTTCCAGCCAGCGTTCAACGGCAGGGCTGGGAAGTTCCTGGATGAGGAGCGCCTGCTGAGGGAGTACCCCCTGAACCCCGACACTCCTGTCCCCTACTTGGAGGTAGCCATCATCTGCTTTTTTTAAAATGTGTCTATATCTATATACACGTATATAGATATATATACATACGTGTATGTATGTGTACATAAGTATGTAGGACTTCTGTGATTCCTTCCACTGCAGTCTCTGTGGGCACCATGAATATTAAGGGCCCCTGTCCCTCTTCCCTTCTCTTCCCCGTTTCCCTTCCAGGAGCGAGAGCATAGAAATTCGTGTGGGTGTATGTTTACTCACGGAGAATCCATTGAGGGAGAGCTGAGGCAAATGCCTCTGAGTTTCAGTTGCTCGTGACTGTCTGCTCGAGAGCTCTGTCACATCTGTCATAGCCCCGTGGAGCAGCTCCCCTGGTTTCTGACCCTGGTGGTGAAAATTCCCATTTTTCTCCTGGTGTATAACTGTCATGGGAAATTGCAGTAACAGAGGGAAAGCCAGTCTGGTAGGTACAGAGAGAAAATCACAGGGACATCTTTGCATATGAGGCTGAAGGGCTTGAGTCTGATATTTTACTTAATTTACAATTAATGTAGAGCCTGGAATGCAACCGTGAGCTTTGACAGCAAATGACTGTCCCTGTATGGATCTTGATTGTGTGATGAGCATGGAGGATCACCTGTACTGTTTTCTGTTCCAGAAAATTAAATAGAGCAGAAATTAACAGAACTAACTCTCTAGTTACATTCACTATAGGTTTTGCCTTGGGCTGAGGTTCAGGTGATTTCATGTAGGTGTTTATTCTCAGGTGACCCACAGCATTTCCTGGGCTCCCTTCACTGTCACTGTGGACAACACCCCCCCTGGCTGTGATGGGCCTCATTACCTGCACATGGGCTTCTAAATTTAGGAATCTTGTACTATATTTTGCTCACAAAGTCTATTTAGAAAGCATTACACACCTAAGCTGCAAGAGCTCTTATAAATGCAAGTATGAATGCTGCTATTACAACTAATCCCGACTAATTTGGAAAGAAAGTGCAGCACAATTTTTAAGCAAACTAACGTTTAGTGTAGACAAAATCATTTGGAACAACGTTAAGAATGCTTGCAAATAAACCTATGAGGTAGTAAATTCCTTAATGTTCCTTATACGGGCTTTAAAGCTTTGGTTTTGTATAATTTAGCATAATGTCCACACTTAATGTCTTAGCGCACACATCTAAATGCAGACTTGACATGGGTGTTTGTTCTGTGTCATTTTGATTCTTCATAACTTGGTAAGAATGGCAGCAGAGCACTGGAGAATCCTATTGGAAAACCCCAAATCCCCAATCTATTTACAAGACATAAATCCTGTGTTGATCCCACTGAGGTTTCATGAGTCCAAAAGATAAATTAGCCCTCAGGGCTGCATATGAAGGTAATCAAGTAAATGAGGGGTTTGTGTATATTGACAGAAAAATTACATTAAAAGCAGATATAGTGTAGACTCATAGAGTAGTTTGGGTTGGAAGGGACCTTTAAAGGTCCTCTAGCTGGCTCTGTTCTGTACCTGGGAGCTGCAGGTACCCCAGATCCCTCGTCGGGATAAGCCAGCAGCTGCGATGCAGTGTGTTGGTGGTCGGGCAACGCGCATGGGGTCACCTGCCTGTCTGCTGCCATCCCGTCACCTGTGTGTGTGGTGGTACTGCTGTGTCCCCTATTATCTCACTGGTTGTTATCTACCGTCAGAAGCTCATTGTGTCCTTCTTAATGAGGTACTTATTTCATTTGTGTGCCAGGCACATAGTTCTCACCATTATTAAACATCACACATTCAGTTCATGCACCTTGTAAATTTGCATGAGATTTGGAAAATTCCAGTGCCTGTATGTCCTCTCCACGGGGTCCGGTCTGCGGGTGAGCTGCTGGAGCCAAACCAGCGGGTTGAGTCTTGCTGCCCACTTCAGTCACTCCTTCAGAAGTTCTGCTCAGTTTCGAGCAACGGACTGTGTGTTGCACGGCTGAACTCTTCTCAGGTGGGGCTTTAGCTTTGCACCTGGGTGGCAGCTTCCATTGCTCTTGCATGAAAGTCACAGAACCACAGGATTGCAGAGGTCGGAAGGGACCCTTCAGATCATCGAGTCCAACCATCAGCCCCGCACAAGCCGATGCAGCCCGGGCTCTCCCCCAGCCCTGCCTCGCTGATGCCTTGCCCCAGCCCCTGCCTGTGCCGCTGGGCGCCCCGAGGGACCTTCCCCATGGTCGGCTGCTGGGGGGGCAGCAGGGGGGAGTCCCCGCCAGCGGGCACCGCGGGGCAGGACGGCGAGAGCCAGCGCCAGCGCTGCCCGGCTCGGCCGGAGGCTGGGAGCGGAGGCAGCTGCAGACCCTCCATGGCGGTGCCGGGGGTGAAGAGGAGCCACCGAAGGCTGAGAGGGATGGACAGAGGAACCCCGACACTGGCAGCACCCGCAGAGGACCAACATCTGTAAATCAGCGGGCAAGACGGTTTTTACCTTGGAATGATTAGGGGAAAAAAAAAAAAAAAAAAAGTAGTTGTGTGAGAAAGCATGTGCCCAGCAGGGCAAGTGCCTGACAGACTGGAAATGTGCTAATATTTTGCCAGTATTGAGAAGTAAGTGGGAAGAGCTTAGTAACTGCAGCCCAAAGATAACTTGGTGTCAGCTCCAGCTGAAATAATGAAATGTTGATGGAGGATTAAGTTTGTAGCAATTCAAAATCTCAGAATACAATTCATGCATTGAAAAAGATCTAGTCAAACAAATCCAATTTCATTCTTTAAGGAAACTGTAATTCTGCTTGATAAAGGTAACTACACAAAGGCAGCAGCCTCTCGGGGGTACTTGATACTGTGTTACATGATATTCAAGTTCAGGATTAGCACTGTAAAAAGTCGGTAGGACAAGTGTCACTGGGTAACTCATCGATGGCAAGAAGCAGCTGTCACTGCTTCATACATAGACGTGTTTCTATATCCTATGCTCTGCGTAGATGTAGATGTGTAGGGTTTCCGAGGGACCGATGGCAAGCTTGGTGTGGGTACCCCACAGATCTGGGTGTCAGTGTAAAACCACTGCTGATGAAGTCTGATTTACACAGAGTTTGGCAGAGAATACAACAGCGTCGACTGCGCTGTCAGGGGCATTTGGTAAGTGGGGGTCCCATCACAGCACGCTCCAAGTCAGCCAAGTGATAACCACACAGGAACAGTGATTGCTTGCTAGGGAAGGACCCTTGTGGAAAACAAGGCTTCCAAAGAAAAATTGTGAACCTTTTTGTCCAGAAACCTAACAGCAATTCCCAGTGTGATGCTGTGGCACAACATGCCCCTGTAATCCTTCAGTAGTGAGTTGGTTTCAGGGTGGTTGGGGTGGAAATGGCTGATTTTGGAGCAGTGCGTGGGTGACAGTCAGTGTTCTTGAGAGGACATTGGAAAAAGCCCTGGCACGGAAAAGGGCAGCAGAAATGATCTGAGAAGAGCAGAGAAGACGCCTCAATGAGAGATTTAGAGCTCAGCCTGCTTAAAGGAAAGTTGGCTCGAGATCACCTGAGAGGTGAGGAAACCGTTCTGTTATTAGAAAGATCCCTAATTAATTGGGAAGAAGCAGAACAAAATCCAAACCATCTGGAAGCTGTAGCCTGACAGATTCATCTGAAAAACTGGTCACAATTTCTTTAGTGAGGAAAGGAATTAACTGTTAGAGCAAATTATGGTGGAGAACGGTGTATCCTGTGTCTGTTGTTGTTTTCAGATCTAGGCTGAACATCTTCACGCACGCTGGTGGCTACTGGAGCTGCTCGAGAGCCGTTTGATGCCGAGTGGGTTTTGCTGGTCTCACATCTGACATTCTTCCCTCTTGCAGTTCCGGTACAAGAGGCGCGTGTACACCCAGACACTGCTGGATGACAAGCAGTTTGCCAAGCTCCATACAAAGGTAAGGCTGGAGTCCAGCTGGGCCAGCTCAAAGCCCTGAAGCATGTTCAGCACCGATGGTGGCCTGTCACAGAGATGATACCAGGCTTTGGGATGTTTCGGTCGCCTGTGCTTGCCAGACTGCAGAGCACCCCTGAGAAGTCGATGGTGCCTGCCAAAGCTTGAGATGGTGTAGGTGGGGGTGCAAGCTGGAGAACCCCACCGAGCCATGGTGGGGTGCCTGCCCAGGGGCAGACCTGCGCTGCGCGTGTGCATGCAGGTGGGTGTGGGGTTGGAGGCTCTGCGGGAGAGCGTGGGGTGGTGAGGCAGAGGAACACATGATGGGCCAGCTGAAGAGAAGCTTTATTCTCTGGCCTGGAGGAGTCACTAAATGCCTGGTGAACACAATGGTGGGCATTGAGGAGAGAGTCTTCCCTTCCCCCAGCGAGGCCATAGAACGTCTCTGCCTTGCACCCATCGCCTTGTCTCTGGCTTTAACCCGTGCCTTTGGGTCAGGATGTCGCTGGTAGGACCCACATGTGCAGTGGAAGGCACCCTTGGTCTACTGCAGCCCCATGTGTTGTGGACAGTGATCAAAGCCTGTGTCAAGATGAACAGTGCAGCAACTGTGGCTCGTCTGGGTGTTTGGAGAAGAGGGAGTGAGGCAGGAATGGTGCTTTTTCATGTATGGGTATTTCCTGGGAGGAGAGATGCCCCACCAAACCACCAGGTTCTGTGGCCAGGGACACCCCAGCTGGCACAGCCGGAGGGTCAGGGATGCTGAGGGTGGCCAGGCCTTGGGCACCTGTTGGCTGGATGCCCTCCTGCATTGCTCTTCCCCCGGACAGCTGTGGTGGTCCCGTGGTGTCCCTTCTTCCCAAGAAATTAAGAGCAATGGTTGTGGAGAGGTCTGGGACCATCAGAAGATTTGTGCTGCCACTAATGATTGTGCCTTCAGATGGCATGTGGCCCCGTGGGGACTTTGGTGGTCCTGGGAGGCCAGGGCCAGCAGCACGTGGGAACTGTGAGATGGGAGGAAGGAGGGGGGCTCTGGCAGCGCAGTGGCCATTGCAGAGCTGGGTGGCTGTGGGCACTGAGCAGCATCTGAACTGCTGGGTGGCACGGGGACACCTCAGCCCCCATCAAACTCATTTTCTGGGAGAGTCCGTGAGGTGGTGTGGAGAGGCTGGTGGGGATGGCTTGTGCCTGGAGGGCACTGTGCTGAGGAAGGCCCCGCAGAGAGGCTTTGGGGCTTCTTGTGTAGGAAGGACATGGGATGGGCTGGGACACCAAGACTCCCTGCTGGTTCCCTTCCTGCTGTGTCACACACTCCTTTGGAAAACCCCTGTGCGGAGCCGCCGATCCCTGAGGGCTGGGCAGCCTCTCGGCTCTTCTCCTGTCACCCTCTGACAAGATGGGCACTGTTCTCTGCCTCCACCCTTCTCCTACACTCTCGCCTGGCAGCGGCGACTCCAGGACACATGCAGGAGGTGCCCACGGCCAGGTGACTGTGGTGCCTCCTCCTTGGCCCCTGGCAGCCCTCATCTCTGCCAGGCACAGGTCACCCCTGCATGGCTCCTGCCGCGTGTCTGCAGGGCAGCTTTCTTTGCTTTTGCAAGAGGCAGGCAGGCAAGGGATTCAGATTTTCAGTTCAGAGGTGGAACAGCAAGAACTGAGCTAGGTGGAGCCACAGCTGTAAAGCAGAAGGGAAGAAAACCATCTCCCAGAGGGCTTGACCTACCCCAAAGGTGAAGATCTTCTTGGGAAGCAGCAGGGCCTCTGTCTTCTGTTTGCAGAGCCGCAGGAACAAGAAACAAAATGCTGCTGAGGTTTGGGTTTGACTCACGAAGATTAAAGTCACGAGGCTTCTGTCTGGTGGCATAAGATTATCCAGGCAGCAAGTCTGGAAGGCTCTCAGCATCTTCCTGGCGCCAGGAAGCGTGAATCACGGTCCCCCTGAGCCTTGCCAGCGAGAGACCATGCCTGCCGGCGGGAGGGCTGGAGGCGCCGGCCACGGGGAGACCCGGGCGGCAGCATCTGAAGACTTCCCCTATGAGCATATAGTACCCATAAATGCACTTGATTAAATATTCACTTCATCTCCATGCTTTAATTTCTACTTAAAAAACAAATCTCCTTCATGTTGTTTCTTTATTTTTAAACCATCCCTTGCCACTAAAACGTGGCATCTGAGCAAGCTCCTGCAGCTCCGCTCCCTCTTGCCTCCATCAAAGGATGCTGATGAGCGTTTCCTTAGGCTGGTGTTTCACTGAATTTCACTGAATTTTTAGAGTTGGAAGGGACCATAGAGATCATCTAGTCCAACTCCTCTGCTGAAGCAGGATTGCCTAGAGCTTGTCAGAGCACGTTACTCAGGAGCATCCAGGCGGGTCTTGAAAATCTCCAAAGAAGGGACTCCACACCCTCCCTGGGCAGCCTGTTCCAGGGCTCTGCCACCCTCACCGTGAAGAAGTTTTTCCTCATATTTGAGTGGAACCCTTTATGTTCCAACTTGTGCCCGTTGCCCCTCTTCCTCTCACTGGCAACCACTGAAAAGAGTCCGGCTCCCTCCTCCTTCAGCCCACCCTTGAGATACTTATAAGCATTAATAAGGTCTCCCCTCAGCCTTCTCTTCTCCAGACTTAAGAATCCCAGCTCTCTCAGTCTTTCTTCATAATCCTTGAATCATCTTTGTTGCCCTTCACTGGACTTTTTCCAGTAGCTCCTTGTCCCTCTTGAACTGGGGAGCCCAGAACTGGATGCAGTGTTCCAGTTGTGGCCTCACCAGTGCAGAGTAGAGGGGGAGAATGACTTCCCTTGTCCTACTAGCCACACTCTTCCCTTTGCAGCCCAGGATTCCGTTGGTCTTCCTGGCCACAAGAGCACACTGTTTGCTCGTTGTCATTTTGCTGTCCACCAGGACCCCCAGATCTTTCTCTTCGGAACTTGTCTCCAGCAGGTTGATGCCTAACCTGTATTGGTTTCCCCGGAGCCTGTGGGCACCACGGATGGTGGTGCTGGTGGGGGTGGAAGGGGAGCCCCTGTCCTGCCCCGGTGCAGGGGTGCAGTGCGAGGGGGCGTTGGAGGCAGTCGCAGGGGGTAGCGCCAGGAGGAGTGCGAGCAGAAACGTGCTGGTGACGGCCACTCATTGGAGCGATGCCAGGGCTGAGAGCTGGCATCATCGTGCCTTACCCGCCCGGCACGGAGCGAGGCGGTTTTGCCAGGAGAGGGTGAGAGCGGAGCCTGTGTCTGCAGCAGCTGGAGGAGGGTGAGAGGGGGACGGAGCAGCAGGACATGGGCTCCTCTCTGGCACGGCGGCTGGCTGAGCAGAGAGACAACTGGCAAGCTGCTGGGGACCACGCACCCCGAGCCAAGAGCACGGTACTGCTCCTGCCCCGACTGCCGTGCCAGGCACCGCCGGGCGAGGGGCACGGGAGGACGGTCCTGCCGCGTCACCCGTCCTGTGGAGGGACCCTGTGGGGGCTGCGGGGCTTGAGGGGGGGGTCCGTGCCTCACGTCGGGGCGCAGCAGGGAGATGTCTCTGGGGCAGCGCGGGGAACAGCTGGTGCAGGGGTGTACGGGCATACGCGGGGTGGGCTGCTGCGGGGGCTCTGCTCCTGCCCGTGCCTTCAGGGGCTGGTGTCCTTTTCTGGGAGAGCAGATACGCGGAGGGGATGTCTCTGCTGTGTGGTGCGGACCCTGCCCGTCGCTCCAGGCGTGATGCTTCCCCATTATTTGTAGTGGTGCCTAATTGCTCAGGCAGCGAAATAAGGGTTTTATTTCTGAGATGTGGTAATTTAAAGGCCTGTGAAGGGTTAGCTGTAGGTCTAACAGGATGATGGGACCACTCCTAAGGTTGTGGTATGTGTGAAGTCTTCAGCTCTGTGGCTAATGAGAGCAAAGTGTCAAAATGTTTGGAGTTTAGACTCTGACTTTTAGTGGCAGGATACACTACTTGAATCTTTTAATGACCTTGAAACATGATTCTTAACTGTCATTAAGAAAGAAAAATAAGAAAAATGAAAATAACTCCTGGTTTTTGAGTGCCAGTGGACTCGTTTTAAGAAGTGGGGAAATTGATCTCTTGAATTGCTAGCAATAACAAAGTGACTTGCTAAAATCGGTCAATCAGCCTCAGCCCCTTCTGCCTCTTGGGATCTGCAGGCAGTGACATTTCTTACAGATATTTTTCCTGCTGAATTGCAGTAGGCCATTTAGAAATGGGAGTGCAAAAAAATGCGTGTTGGAAAAGGGCAATCGCATTGTGCTTGTAAACAAAAATCTGTGCAGAAGAAACTTGGCATTTACCACAATGTCCACAAAGGGCATTGTGCAACCAGAAGTCTTGGAGTCTTGGGATATTACCACCTTGAAGGGGAAAGAAGCAAGACACTTAAAACACACTTAAAGTAATTATGAGGAACACATATGCCATTGCTGTTGTAGACAACTGACGGTAGCGTAGAGCCAGAAGCGCTGGCCACAGACGCTGATCTTCTCCTGCTGCTGATGGTACAGTTATGGAGGGATGGCAGCCCTGGCGAGGGCTGGGGCGGTGCAGGTGGGAGCTGCAGGCAGACCCAGTGCCACAAAGCAATGAGAAGGTGTCAGCATGTTGGACAACACCCGCAGCAGGTCCGCAGCATGACTGTCACCACCATTCCTGTTGGGGTTAGTGCACAAGGGGTGGCTGCAGCAGGGAGGCACTGCTCGGTGGATCAGCAGGACATGAGGGATGCCTTCGCCCGAGGTGTGCCTGGGTGAGGGGAGTGAAAACCATGGCCACTGTGATGCCGGGAGGAGGAGAGGAGCTGACGCAGGCTGTGAAGGACCTTGGGAAGAGACGGGCTGCTGGAACTGGATGTGGGAGTGGTGTGTGGAGGCAGCGTGTGAGGGGGGGCTTCACCTGCCTTTGGGATGGAGGGATCGTGTGTGCGTGGGCCAAAGGAGGGGTTTGCAACAACAGTGCCTGAAGGTGATCAAGGCTGGAGCAAGGATTCCAGCCCTGAGGATGGAGAACAG